TGAGCAGGAAGCGGGGAATTCCTCTGGCAGCAGGATGTGTCCTCATCCAGCATCTGCCACGGGATCTCGGGAAATGGCAGAGCGATGTAAATGCTGTGAAGAAGGAATTGCACCAAAGGAAGGGACAGAAATCTTTCAATGGACCTCCTCGGCGAGACTTGCGCTCCCGCAGCCAACAGCGGGGTTTTGTTCTAAAGCAGAAATTCCCAAGCGCTGCTGCTGACGGCCCCACCCCGGCCAGACCCGTCACCTACCAGCAAAACCAGCTGGATTTTTGTGCTGCCCCCAGCCCTGGCCACAGGCACAGCCCTGAACCCTGAAGGGCTGGGCTGGCAGGGACGGGACCGTGCTGGGGGCTGCCCTTCTGCGGGGACACCCCCGGCACTGCCTCCGCGGCAGGGCCAGCTCAGGGCAGGCACCCCCGCAGGTGCCCCCCTCTGAATGAAACCTCCTCATCCTGAATGAGCAGAGGAGGGGGGCCAAGCCCCCGGGCTGCGCTGGCGCAGCCCCTAGCATCGCCCTGGTCATCTTCTTGTCCAGAGGTGGGAGGACAGACCTGGAGCTCGTGTTCCTGCCTCGCAGAGCTGCCGCCAAGCACCTCCTTACAGGCTGCCCGTCGGATGATTAGAGAATATGCCACCCGCCTGGACCCCCCAGCACGGCAACACAACCACAGAAGGAAAACCACCTCTTTGAACAGACCGAGATCTTCCCGGCGTTGCTGTGTCTTCAGCTCCGCTAAACTCTTCAGTGGTTTAACAAACAACAGCAGCCAAGTGCTCGGCGGGGCTGTTTTGATTTAACTCTCATTGGGAAGGAGCTGGGCTAACACCACACAGAGCGGGCTCGGGGCTACAACCACGGAACTGCATTTGAAAAGCCCCCGAACACGCGCCTTCAGCTCGGGCTGTGCAACCCGTAACGCAGGCAGGACCTGCGGGAGCTGCGGCACCCAGAGCGGACGAAATCCTAGCAGGGAACAGAGAAAATGTTTTCTAACCAGCGCAGCCAAGGACAAGCTGTCTCCACTTCTAAACATGGCCGTGTGTGTGCGCAGGGCTGCCGCCACCGCCCGCGCACGCCAGGCGAGGGCACCTCAGGACAGGACCCCAAGAGGTGCCACTGGGCAAACAAGAGCCGCTTTGGAGAGCCCCAGGCCACCACCGGGGGGGTGCCTCCCTCCAGACCCCCCCGGGAGCAGCTCCCCTCCTGCCCCAACAAG